AATCCCACTAGCTTTCACGAAGTCTCTTCACTCCTCAAAGCAGCTCCAACCACAACATGAGATGCTTATCTTCAGCATCATGTATTGCTCTTAGATTTTGTATATTGCTATTGATTTGGTCAGCTTTAGCTCCGATAACATTACACATCTAGTGATAACATTCAGGATGTGCAACTGACGAGAAGTAGCTTTAGGGACACTTCTAGAGACATTTGCAATAATTTTTTCAGTAGAAAACCCAATATGTGATCCCAAATAAGAGATACCTAGCCACTTGAGAACAAGGTACTCTACATACTCTGGAATAGACCTCTTGAAAGCCAATAGTGAAGCTACAATATCCCAAACGACAAGAGGCTTATCTGCATGATCAAATTGCTTCAAAGACCATAAAAAATTAGACTCCCAGTAAACCAGTTCTTTCTCAGAAAAACCAGAAGCTTCTATGCTGATCTCCAGGGAATTATTTGATAGAACATTGAGTTTTTGCGCACCAGTCCAGAAGAATTCCACAGCTGCCTTCTGAGACCTGACAAAGTTGAAAAACATTAACTTATAGCATAATGACATGTAGGTCCACAAGCAGAAATAGAAAAGCATTTTAATTCCCACTACTTTTGCTTTCTGTACAAGGTCATCTAAAGTCAAGAAATTTCTTTGGCTAGTCATTTTCAATATGAGCTATGCATTCTATTGAGTTGAACCTCGTTCTTCTTGTCATCATGCTGAGCTTATATCAGTTCGGGTATTATCTAGATATATTATTAAAAGAAACATTTAGAATATCTTTCACCTGGCCTGGTACATTTGATCCAATAGATCTACATTGAAACTCCGAACCTGTAAAAACCAAGAAAAGAATTTACTTCTTGATTTAGATCAAAACATTTTTGTTCATACCAAAACAATACAATTGCTGCCTTTTTTTGAGCCTCATCTTTTGTTATATTTTAGTACTTATATGGTGAGGTATCATAAAAATACTACCATGCAACTATATAAACACACAAGTCCTAACACCAAACTTTTTTCATGGAAATTAAATGACTGAAAGTATACCATGGCAACCACAAGATTTCCAGGGGAGAATGCTACACCAAGGCATGAAAAATATACATCTGGAAGCTGTAAAAGAAATGTTCAGATTTGTTAAGTTAAATCAAATAAGTGAGAAGATAAATTGAGATCATAGAAGGCCATGCCATACATCAGTGCCGCTTCTCAATCCTGGAGTGTTTGATGGAATGGGGGACTTCAGACAAGAACCCTCGTGCCAAATCCAACTTCGTGCAAAATTATACTAGCTCATTTGAAAAAAAAAAAAACAATAGTAAACTAGGAGGAGAAAATAATAATAATAGTAATAATAAAAGAAGATTTTTAGAAACTGTAAACTTAAGCTACTAAAAACCTTATATCATATCCAATATACATGCAGTTAAAGAGCATAATGCAAGGCCAAGTGATCAATTATAATCTGCTGATTTTTATTTCCCCAGGATATGGACAGGCTAATCCAAAAGAATAATGATGAAATAAAATAATGAGAAACAATTAACTAATTCTGACACAAAGAGCACCTAAAGTGAAGATGAAGAGATGATCCAAGTTAATCTATCTAATTCAAAAATCATAAGCAAACACAAATTAAGACAGCAAATCAAAAAATTGAAAACATAGAGAAACAAACATCTTGATTTAGAGTTGTTTTGATCCCAACTGAATTACATCCACAACCTTCACCACCTCTACTAGAGGATTTCAAGACCACTGTCTAAATGCTTACAATACTTTTTTAACAGTTTAGGAACAACCTAATTAGACAATATCTTTTCAATTGGTTAAGGCATAGCAACTCCTCCTAAACTTAGTTTCTACCAAGTCGTCTGATAAGCTCTTTTTTACAAAGATATTTACACACCAATATGGAAGAAAAAAATTTCAAGATCTCTCAAGTTAATTATAAAATTTGTAGGCTGATAACACAATACATCTATCTCATATTCCTTCACACTTTATGGCCCTTCCTTGGTGCCCTTATTCACATATAGGGGAGCCGTTGTAAGTGGAATATTCAAGAAATTTCTACCAAAGAGCTCAAGATGATTGTACTTCGTTGTAAACAAAGAAGTATTTGTCCTACATACTACATAGGTATCATACTTTGCCTTCATTCAAATACAAATGATATTTAAAATTAAAAAGCCAAGATGTTATTCAATTAGTTCCAATGGCTAATCTCCATCTTATCAGCAAAGAAGCTCAACAGTCACGAGATCTAAATCATGATGACTTTAGCAGTTTAACAAGTTCAAAGAGGATGCTTTCCTAAATAGAAGAGTTAACATGACAAACAGTTGGACTAATTTTGTATCAAATATTTTCTAGTAATATATCAATGCTGCAATTAATCATATATTCAATTTCTATAAATAATCAATCAAACAGGATTCAATATCAATCTATCAATTAAATAATCAAGTATCAGTGACATAGTCAATTCTATGATTTCAATCAATTTTATCAAAATCTGGTTTTGTACAAGATAATTGTTCATCATTAAATTTGATTCTATTTCATTAAAAAGCTTCATTCCGCATTATAGATGATGGATTTTGGTTGACTCCGAGGCGGAATGACAGTTTTTGCTTACTTTATGCAAATTGACTTTAGCTGCTCTTTTATTTTGTTCTAGAACTTGCAAGATATTTTGATGATTAAGTTCACATGGATTTAGCATGATCATTTATTTTGTATATAACTCTTTATGCATGGATTTCTTGTATTAACTACTTCCAGGTTGGATATTGTTTATTATGTGATTTTGAGCTTATCAAAGGAATATGATAATTTTGATACTTTAGTTGACTACAGATGTTTTCCATGCTTCAAAGGAATTATGGATCAGCCATTTTGATTGAGACAAGAGACAAAGAAAGAATGAGAATGTGTGGATATAGGTACAGAATCATAGATCTTGAACAATGAGATAATTTGACTATGATTCATGGATATTCTTGAATGATAAAATATATTGAGTACGATGAGTAATCTTTAATATCTTTGTAATTGAGAGGCACCCCTTTGTGTTTTAATGATACCTTTTTTCTAACCTTAAAAAAAAAAAAATCTTTATGGTATCTTTATAGCTATGATTATTCTAATTTAAGTAGGTGATGGATTTGATTTTATGGCTTTGTCATGATAAAACATGAGAATATTGGGATAACTCTTTCTAAAAGAAATAAAGTCAATTTAGAGGAGGAACAACTATCTTCACAAAATCGACTTTTGGATATAATTGCTCGAAATCTTAGAATTATATATGTAATTCATTGCTAGTTATTAGATTATTAAGTTGATAGAAATCATGTTTGATTAATAATGGATGGAAACTGAATATATGATTAATTGCAAAATTGATAGATTAGTGGAAAATATTGGATAGGAATTTAGTCCAAAAACTTGCCATGTTAAACTCGTCAATTAGAAAATATTCCTACCTCTTAATTTGATTCTGATTTATATTGCTAAAGTTCATCATGATTTAAACGGCTTTTGACCCCTGGGCACATTTGCTGATAGGATGGAGACTAGTTGTAGAAGGTAACTAATAACATCTTGGCTTTTAGATTTACAAAGATTTTTTATAAGTTGAATGCAGCAAAGATATAAATAGCTTATGTAAATAAGTATCAATGTTTTTTTCTTGACAGCAAACTACAATCAATTTGGAACTTAGTTTTCGTGACATGATTTCTTGAACAAAAAGGGCAATCCTAACTGTATAAACAGGGCACCAAGGAAGAGCCTAAAAAACTGAACAAAAGTGAGGAAGACTTCTTGGTTTTTTTGAGCTTCAGAAATTGCATAACCAACCTTGATAACTTTTGTAATTCTTATCTTCTATACCAGGGAGTGAATCTCTTCGTATCAGAGTAATGTGAGACACCCCCACTGAGTCTAAAGAGAAGAGTTGCATCTTAACCAATTGAAAACCTATTATGTGATTGGGTTACTGCAGAACATATACAAATATTATCACCTTTTTTGAAAATGAGCCTCTTTCAGGATTGAAGTCTTTATCTTCAGGGGAACAGGGTTGCTAGGGAAGATAAAGAAGAGAGGACTGAACTTGAGCCTTCCAAGAATCCAGTATGCCTTAAACAAACTAGTTCCCCTTCCAACAACTGAACCTAAATGAATCTATCAACTTAGATGCTCAATGATTGGGAGCCATATTTTGGCAATAGTTTTTTACTGTAGAAGACAGGTCCCCTTAATATCTTGAAAACATAAGCTGTTTCTTATATTCAATTTTAATGAACAAAAAATAAGCGTATTTGTTTCCTTCACAAAATCCTTCCCTGTTTTTATTCCATTCAGAAAACCTCAAGGCAACAAGTTCTCTCAGCACTTCCATCTATTTACTGCTGGTCCAATCTGGGATAAGTATTAATGTGCTCTCAAATTAAGCAAAGTGTAATAGAGGAATAATGTATTGAAGATTTTAACCCGAAATAAATAGCCTACAGAGAAAGAGCATAACAAAAATATGAAATTACAATGTTGAAGATGCAAGACAAAGATAAAACGAAATCAAACTGTAGCAAGTTCCATTCTTCTCTCAAGAAAAAAATCAAGTTTGATTCAACAATGATTCAAAGCATGAACCAAGCACTTGTAATAATTCAGCTAAACAAGTGTTACCTGACTGCAGCTGTACAAACAGCATCCATCAAATGCCCAGGCTAAACCTGTAACCTAATAAAATTCTAGAAAACATAAATCAAAGTTGGTATGCTGCAGAAGATTGAATGATAACAAGAAACTTACAACTTGATCGTGAGCATTGCATGAACCAGTTCTCTCAAATTTTTGGCTGGATATATCACATGTCCATACTTCAAAAAGATCCAGAAAATTTGCCAATCGCCAACAACATTCTTTGATTGGAATGATGGATAGGCATAAATAAGCGAAAGTACTGAGACTGGGACAGTATTAACAGTTATCATCTGCAGATAAATTCCAAAAGTTGGAATTTAGTTGTCTAATATAAGTTAACTCAACGACAATGCTTGAATAGAAAGAGCTACCTCTTTTAATAGAAAAACTGGAGAATCATCAACTTCTGATAACTTCCGCAGATCCTCACCATATCCCAGCCAAATCCTCACACTAAGAGAATAATGTAGAAAAATCATACAAAACCTTCAAAGTACTTAAAGATTTAGTTCAGTTGTCACAATCTGAATAATTCAAAAATACACCACACAATAAAGCAGACTGAAAAGCATTCTGGTTCCAATTGAAAACCACAATTATTTTTTTCTTTGGCAGTAACATGGATATAAAAAGCTTATTATATTGCATGAGCCACTCACCTCCCATCAGAACTTCCAGTAGCCAACAAAACTTGAGGATTTGAACATTCAGCATCAAGCAATCCCCAACTCACTGTTGTAACCCATGACGTATGTGCCTGAAGCAGCCCAATAAGAATCGCAGACATTGAGGAATTACTGTGCTCAATGTAATAGCATTCTGGTGCATGAATTCTCCAGAGAGAAATTTGACCTGACTTTGCACCAACAGCTAGTAGACAGAAGCGATTGGATGAATCATGTTGAGCAAGTTGGCAAGTTTTTGATGATACTCTTAGCACTGGAGACCAAGAAACAACAACTGATGATAATGTTGCATTGCGAGATGCATACTGATCTGTAGTTATCAGTGGGAGGCTACAATCTTCAGCTATCTTGTTGACAGTATTCCTCTCAGTTTTAGACACAGAGGCTTTCTTACGTGAATTTTTCTCAGATTTAATCTCAAATGCCTGGATATCAAGTAGAAACACGTAGAAATAACTGTTTTAATGGAATTTGTTTGCATCATAAATTGGGAGAGGCTTTTTCCAGCCCATAGAAAGCAAGTAGTAAAATAAGCAAGTCTATAATAAAAAGTAATGGCCGAGAGGGGAAGAATGAAGGAACTTCCTTGCAACAAAAGCCACACCTCAGGCACTCTCTGGCCCTCCATTTCAGAGGAAGGGCTGAAGACAGCATCATTATCATTGTTGTTTTCACAGTCTGATGAATATTCTTGATAAGTACTGGAACACTTGTTGCTGCATCACAGTCATTAATGAAAACTAGCTTTTAAGTGCTTCAGAAATTTTCAACAACTGTAGAACTCTTTAAAGGATAATGTTAAATTTTAACCTATCATGCTCAAAGCCTAAACAGGTTATATTTTTTCTGGTTGTCTTTACTTCTTGGGGGCTGGGATATTCAAGCATCAAATTTATCAATAACTAGACTCCCACCAGACATGAAAACCAAGTTTCACATTTCTTTTTTAGGCAAAAAGAAAAAAACTCTTGCACTTTTCCTCTCTTTGATCCTAGACCACTTCCAGGAACCAACTTTGCATGTTCATTGCCCTCCCCATCCCCGAAGAATATCTAATAAAGCAGAACATTGTCCCAACCTTGCATATGTTCTGCACAGCTCATGTGGCTTACTTCCACTTAAAAGACAAGTGTAAAGAAAATAACCATAGATAAAGAATTGAAAGTAACTAAATACATGAACAAGAACAAGCTTCTTACATTGTCAGCCGTCTTTGCTTGCTTTCCCGTCTTGAAACAGAGATTGAATCTTCATCTAGCTGGTCATGCTCTTTTGCTTGTTTCTAGAAAAGGAGGTTAAAAAGAGTATCGTATGGACATTAAGGCTGATCAGATCATGTGCATAGACAAGAAAACATCCAACCAAAGTGTTGTAAGCTAGTCGTTAGATGAAAAAAGCAGGTAGCACAACAGCTAGGGAATAATAACTTACTTTAGAATAAACTTACATTAGAAACTCCTGAGGAAGGAGTAGCTAGCTTCCTGAAACTGATAGTTGAGAGATAATTAGAGAGCATGTCTGTTATGTCCATAACCTACAAAATAATGGACTGAAAAGTTTGGCTTTTGAGAAAATAAATATGTAATAAGCTGCATATAATGAAGACCTTGACCTAAACAAGCAAAAGCATTCTTAACTCAACTTAAACATGCAAATTTTGTCGAATGGGCTATCAATCATCATGAAATTCTCACTTCTTGGCAACTACTCTATGGTAAACAAATAACTTGAGCATTCATGATAAGTTCATAACTGTAGTTTCCAAGAACCTGAGGTGAAAAGGAAACTGTTGCAGTGTTGTTGCTGCATTACCTGTACCCAATCAGCACAAAAATCATGATAGGGAGGACGATAGAGCTTGACCCGTCCTTCAGCCGAGCAAACAGCCAGCAAACACCTGCACCCAGTCACACCTGAAATGCCTTACTCACCCAATACAATCATTCTAATCGTCATGTTATAATACTGAAAATAGATAAACTGCAAGTCAGATATCTTCATATTTGAAGCTCGTTACCTGAATTAGGTGCCATTCCGATATCGGACCACGAAAGGGATCGAACACAAGGACGAGGGTCTCGGGTTCAGACAAATCGGCAACAGAGGACCAGTCAACAATTCTGTGAAGAATCATCCACTTTAGTTATAGCAATTTGAAATAGTCTAATTAAGACAATCCTGTACTCATAACAGAAACAGATACAAACACGCACCTTCTCTTTTGATAACCCCGATACGAAACGGCTCGCTACTGGGAATCGTGATCAGGCCTCGAGGTCCAAAAGGCAATGCTGGATTCTGATCAAAATTTCGAAAAAAATAAAAATAAAGAAAATAACATACAAGAAACAGAAAAAAAAAAAAAAGTTTAGAATAACTTCGAAAAAACGAAAAGGGAATTACTAGGATCGTGACTAGGTGACCGGAGGCAACAGCAATCAGGTTCTCTTGAGACCAGGCAATGGCGTTGGGGTACAATGGCGAAGCAACTAGCGCAGCTGCCTGGAAACACGAGGCCATAGCTCCCTCTTCTAGTTAACCTGCATATAGGTGATTGAGTTTGGAGAGAAGTGAGGATTGTTGGCGTAGCAGAATTTGGAGGGAAAACTAGAGCAAAGAAGAACGGCTAAGAAGATGAGAGAGTGAGTGTGAAGAACCAAATTAGGAGATCCCCGGCCCGGGATCAAATCGCAGAGGGTGCTGGTTTGAGAAAAGTTTTGTTTTTTTTCTTTTTCAATTTATACAGAATAGAGAGAAAAAAGAAAGAAGGGGAAAAACAGTGGACGCTGGTGGATTTGATTACGGCTAGGTCGATTGTGAAGGAAATAAGTAAAAGTATGGATTTTGATTCCATTTTTTTTTTTATTTAATAATATTTGGCCTGTAATTCTTTTTCAATTGGGCTACTTAAAGGGCCGAAATATATTATCTTGTTTACAGGCCCAATTTTAAAATAATTTTTTGTTAATATTTTAAATATATCAAAATACATGATTTTCACCCTTTTAACTTATGAAAATATTCAAATTGCACTCTAAATGTTTCTGGGTTTAAATGAATATTCAATTTTAAAAAATTTATAAATCACCCAATTGCTTTTGAAAAAAATTAACACCGTTAAATTCAGCACTTGTAAAAAATAATATCATTTGTTTTAATTTACGTTGATTTTACACATATGACATGTAATGTTTACATGAACTTGTATAAATGTTAACATTAATTTCTCAACTCGTTCGATCAACTCTTTCTCTCTTTGTGGATAAATATTTAAGTTAATTTCCACAAACTTGAGTATTCTCTACGTGAAGAATGAGCGATTCGTAGTGTAGTCCCTATAATTCGATTTTGTTAGGGCTCTTGCATCATCGTCATCCACTGTTAAACAAAATGCAATGTCAAGAGAATTCCTTAGTAGATATGCTGTTGATCGATAACTTTATTCGATAGATAGACAATGCTATCATAAAGAGATTCACCTCACTCAAATAAACCACTGGAAAATGCCAATCATTAGTTGATAGAATTCAAAATATAGGGTTCAATGTTGTAGTCAAGCTCAAGGATTAGGAGAATAAGCCAAACACGCAAAGACTTATGGAATGCATAATATTTTTCTTTCTCATCTTTTATTATAAGTGAAAAAATAAATAAATAAAACACTCAATATCTTATATGTTTGTTTCCTTTCATCTCTATCATTTATGTACGTTTCTTTGTGTGTTGCTCTTTTTCTTTCATATTTATTTTCATATGTAGAAAATTCACGTATGAAATAAGTGAAGCTTGGAGTTTCAACTTTGAGCACTTAACCTAAGTTCACTTCTTCACATGCTTCCAACCTCAAACCTTCATTTATGAGTTATAACTTCAAGTGTTTTGCTAAAACCAATAATTTTTTATACTTGTCTTAAAATATTGCTGAAAATGGTAGTGATTTATTCAAATTTGAATATAAACATCAAATAATTTATGAAAATTTTGAATTATGACTTTTTTTAACATTTTAAATATAAAGAACTTGTTGTCGACTATCATATAAAAGGGGTCTCAAAGCCCATCAGCTTAGCCATACTCATGGCAATTGTTGTTTTACTCGTGCCTAGCCATACTTATGATTTTTTTTTTCTTGCTTTCTCTGTGACATCACGATGAAAAATTCATTTATTTTACTATATGATGTTATGATAAAAGGCGGTTGACAACAAAAAAATCAATAGCAAAGGTAAAAATAAGGGTATGGAATAAAACTCCTGTATGACTTTATAATATAAAATAATAGAAGTAAATGCGTGCTCGATAAAATTTAGAGTCAACACCTTAATTAGAGTATGAGATGTATTAGCACACTTAGAGTTATATGCTATATATTAATGCTGTGATATCTATAAGATATCTACTTACATATGTTGGTGAATGTATATGATTATTATTGACAACGTTAATATCGATTAATAGTACAATTTTAAATATTTTTAAAAATTAAGAGTTAATTTAAATTTATAATAATTAAAAATTAATTATTTTAAAAATAAATAATAACATAATTAATTTATAAAAATTAAATCTTACAATTTTGTGTGGAATAACATAATCCGAAATCATGATAGAAGTTTAAGAACATGCTGTCTAGAACTATCTAACTCTAACTGATGTATAATTTTTTTTTAATCAAGTAATTAATTGATTTTTTAGAATATAAATTTGAATGGTAAATTATGTGTCTTTTTGTTTAATAGAGCAACTGATTTAAGAAGAGAATTTAGAAGAGATGGCTCTGGCGGGAAAGCGGAACGCGGTCTCTTACATCCATCAAAACGATGCGTTTTACGGAAACTATATTATTTGTGAGTGGTGCGGTTTTCAAACAAATCACTTGTACCAGGTGACTGCAATACCTGTAATAATGGGGAATCAGTCCCAGGAGGAGAAACCAAACCCTAGCCCTAAATCAAGTTCCTTTAACAAGAACAACATTGACTCACTGAAGAGGAGGAAGAGCGAATTCGAGTTTTGTAAGGCGTGCAGACTGAATCACAACCAAGGGCAGCGCCATAAGTACTTTCCCAGCCACAAAAAATCCACCGCCGACTTTCTTGCTCGATTTCGTACTAAAACTGAAGACATCCGCTTCTTCTTGAAAAATCCCAGCGTTCTCCCGTCTGAATACGCTTCACGTAGTCGATTTTGGTGCATCGTATGTGATGAGGAAATCGATGAGCTGGATAGCTCCTTCGCTTGGTACTGTTATTTGTTCTTTATTTGATTGATGTCTGTATTAAGTTTATGTTGATGATGCAAAGCAGCTAAATGTACAGAAAATAAACAGGTTTTCTACTCAGCCAAACGATATGCACGTATTGAATCCGGTTTGAATTCTGGTTTTTATGGAAGAAAGGAACTTAACATTTTACTTGTTATTAATTGAAAGACGAGGAGATTATGCATGACTAGAATGTCTAACTGATTGAGCTTTTGAATCGGAATCTTCTGTTACTTAACCTGGATTCACATAGTTGCTGTGTCTTTACTTTGATATCGCACTTACCAAGCTTGGCTCTATGATTTTTATTACTCTTTCTATTATTCTTGCACATTTCACGTCTCTCCCTCTTTCTCTCTCTCTCGCGCGCGCGTGCTGAACAAGATTATAAACCATGATTATTTTTTTAGTTGCAATGCAATAAACCACCTGGCAAGTACGGATCATTTGAAGAATTTGAAGCATTTCCTGTGGAAATACGGGGTTGGAATGGACCGGGTTGACACATTTAGGATATTGGAGACTGATGTATCAAAGGTATAGTGTCAATTAATATTGTATTTTTAGATTTTGTATTTTACTATATTCTATTTGAGGGCATTCCGTCTAATTGATACTACCTTCCTTTTGTTGAGAATATCAATGGGAGGAAAAGGAAACTGTTATCAAGAATCTTGCAATTGTGTGCTCTATAGTTTGTAGAAGCTAGGAAAAGATGAAAACATTTTAGATTATACTTATCTAAATATGATTGATTGTTGTTGAGTGCAGTGGGAGAAAAAGTGTCAGTTGCTGAAAAGTGAAGCTTCTTTACATGGTCAGGGTTCACATGGGTTTCTACATGGACCATCAAATAATATCCACAATGAACTTGAACTTAAAAATATAAATAACTTTGAAAATAATGATAATCAACCTCTTAAAAGTTCTTCAAATTCTGTTATGCCTTTACGGTACTATACGGGTGAGTATCAGATATCTCATTCAGGGCTTCCTGGAGCTACAAATTCTGGCTCAAGTCTGCACGGTCATACTTTCTGCCTATCCATGGACATGCATTCTGGTAGTAGTTTATGGCATTCAAATGATTTAACCGGTATGTATAATCTACTCTTTGTTATCCCATTTTTGTTCTAACTCTTTAATTGGATTATATGCGAAAACTTCTTTATGAAGTGAGAACTTATGGTTGTCTTATGGTATCTGTGATGTTTTGAATTGTCCAGTTAACCGATCTAGCCAACAACCTCTTCCTTATAGTAGTAGAGTGCTCTCTGGAAATTGTTATCGAGGTACTGGAGAGGTAAGCTAATTACTCTGTTTTCAACTGTGGAGCTGATTGTCTTTCTTTTCATTTCTACCCTCCCTCCCCCAACAAAAATGATGGTTTTTACTTTAAACTTCTATTTTTAGTTTTCAGAATTTTTAAGTCTTACCTGCAACTTTACCGAATAGATAAGCAAAGGACATGGAATAAAAGCCTTACTTGCTATTATTTCACTTAATCGTTGTGGGGATTGACATCACTAAAGATAATTGATTGTTTTTGTATATGATATGCAACTGAACACTGTCAACGGGCGGTTTACGTAGTCCATTAAACATACTTGGCAGGATGCACTCTGGAGATGCCGTTTTGTTAGCTTTGGTATTGCTTTTCGTAACTCATAAAACACCTGTTCTAGACTATTTGTGGCAGATATATTTTTACCTTCTGGCTTTGGCTGATTCTTGCTCTCTCTGACCTGGCTATTATTTACTGTGTTCAATTCTCCATTTTTTTGGAGTTACCTAATTTTATCATTCTTGATTGAGTTGCTTGTCACTGATCCTGCTTCTCTGTAAGATTTAGATTATTGGGACTTTATTTTGGAGTTCCAGTGCATGGGTGACAGTAGCTTTCTAACTGCCATTTTGATTGTTTCTGTCTCTATGTCTCTGCTTGGTTTCATGTGGGACATGGTGTTGTGAAGATTAGTGGGTTCTTTTCTTTATACCTTCTGGTTCAGAGTATTTTTCTTGGTACTCTTATGGGATTTTGAGAGGCAGCTGAACCAAATGCAGTTTCCTATAATTGTTTGAAAAGTGATATTCAGGCATGCAGAAAACTGTAGAATCCGAAATTTCTTCACTATTACTTATAATTTTTACTCATTAACAATATACTGATCTGGATGTGATCTACTTTGAGTTAAGATATAAGGGTGTATCTATTCATGTCGTTTAAAAGAGTTGCAGATTCATAACGTGTATTATAATCAATTGCAATTCTTCTAAAAACTCATGTTGCCAGTAATTCGGGTAACTTTTTTAGCCTCAATTCTGTACCAAATGGCCTCTTAATGTGTCTAAATATCTTTATTCATCTTCAGTGTTGTTTTGACATGCTTTCACAAAGCACTTTTTGCATATGCATATGTCAGTTTGTTAACATATTATTTCTAGATGTACCAGGTGCATCAGGACAAAAAAATGGTGCGTGTGGACACTGCTTCTTTGGGTAATCATCCTGTATTTCTGTTCCTAAACTGTAATATGCTCTTTTTTAGCTAGTGACTGAGATACCTACAGGATCCTTAGTAGGAGACTGAAAATAGCGCTGACTTAAATACACTTTATGCTAGAAACTTGTTTGGAAGGTGTTTGGTTACCTCAGTGTTCATATGCTGAACTGTTTGTCTTCAGGTTTGCAGGGTGTCAGTCTGATTTCTTCCTTTCTTCTGAAGTGGCTGCAGGAAATGTGCATTCTGGAGCACCACCTCCTTGGTTGGATGCAGCGGATGGAAATTTATTCAATGATCAAATGGAACTGGCCAGAGGCAACATTGATTTTCCTACTAAGGGATCGGGCAAGTCCCGTAAGCTGAACCCTAAGAGAGTGGGAGCTGCTTGGGCTGAAAGGAGAAAGATGGAGCTGGAGAGGGAGAAGAGAGGAGAGGTTATTGAGGATGATTGTGATGCTAACTGGCTTCCAAACTTTGGTAGAGTTTGGCAATCAGGTAGTCGAAAAGAATCCCGAAAAGAATTCGAGAATGAGAAACAGAAGTTACTCAAGCATGAAAGTAGTTCTGAGATGCCTTTAGAGATACAGCCTTATGTTAGTAAACGAATGGTAAGTATCATATACCTCTAACAATGTTACCGTGGAATTGCTATTTAGTATTTTTATCCTTTTCCCACCAAGTCTTTCCTTTTGGGTGCAATGATAACAATATCCTTCACCCAGGATTGCATGATTCGCCATGTAGCTAGTTGTTTGCACTATATGAGGTTTGACCATTGGAGTTGCAGAGGTGGGGTTTTTCATAGTATAACAGAAATGGAGATTTTACCTTTTATTGCCATTACTGCACTGTTTTAGGTTTATAGTCTGTTTCATCATTTCTGTGTGGAAGTATAAGAGAAGCACTTTTAACCCTAGTAATTGAGTTCCTAATGGAGCTGAAAGTCTTCGTTGAAGTTTGTACATCTGCACAGTGCAGTGTTGTCATAATATAACTTGCTGAGTTAAGATCCTAAATAATTGTTGGTGTGGCAAGCTTTGCTCACATCCTGGATTGCTAATAGCACCTCTTCCTTGCTCTTCTCCTTATGGCTAATTTATATCCTTGAAGATAAAGATAATCTTCAAGGAGAGGCAAAATTTTGTATGCTGATGTAGCAACCTGGGCTCAAATGGTACCTTGTTGGATGCGGAGTTAGCAAAAATTTTAAATAGAAAAGATATTTGGGATGTTTTAAGTTGTTAGAAATGGTTGCTTTGGTTGTTTAGGTTCCTGAATATTGGCACTCAATTAGTTGGAATTATATTGTTTAGTTATTTCTTCAACAGCTACATAAGTTGTAGGTTGTATTTGCTCATTATCCAAGAACAATGAATGCATATTGAAATCCTTCTTTCTGTAAATTTCTGTAATTTCTTCTCATCTTCTTCAAATTCTTCTCAGTTCAGGATCCGGGATCCTGACATGCTGCTACTTGTTTTAGGGAGTTGCTCTAGATGCTTCAATTGTGGGATATTCTTTGCTAGAGCAGAAATATAGAATGCTTTTGTTATCTTTTCTTATCTTTATCTGCTTCGAACTGCAGCTCTAATTTTGTAGGTTTTGCATTTGTTTGAATCAATTCACTTGGTAAATGCTTGCTAGGTTTTTGATTGACTAGTTTTATTTTAACTTCTCTTTCAATTGGATTGGAAGTTGTAAATAATAAATTTAAGTAGGCTTATGCTTGTTTTCCTTTTCTTGTTCTTGCAGCAAAGAGACAAGGGCCAGTGCTGATTCTAGTGATTTATGTTGAAATGAAAAGTGACCATGTTAATATCAATGTAAGAAAATTCATTCTTTTATCCATCTTCCATTGTTGATGTTATGAACATCTTTTAAGATTTTTATGAAGAGAAGCATTAAGGTTGCTGTGAGCTTTGGGTAGGAAAAAGTTAGTTACATGTAAATGTTTTTTAGATATTTTTCGAGTGGATTTCTGGCATTTCCATGTGGGAGTTAACTGGTTTCCTTTTTGGTTTATAGATAAAAAATTTGTGGATTTGGTGGTTTGGATCATGTAATGGTTCAAGGCTAAAAAAGAATGTTGGAACTATCGACTGACTCTGACATAACATAATGAATATAATAAGCACTCTTTCAGACTGTTCTATATTCCTACTAGGAGGGTGATTGAAAACTGTTGAATATTATCACATTCCAAAACCTTGTGCAATTGGTGCTCATGCATCATATCGTACAGACAGTGTACTGAGAGCCAGCAGGCCATGGCATCATATTTTATTGTTACTTGTGCCTTGATGATCTTGTATATGGTTACAAATTAGGAGCAAATTAGTTAACGCCAGATGTTAGTGAAGATTTATACTAAGTTGATTGTTTTGTTTGACAAGCATGTAAACAAGTAAACGACTACCTGGTTTGTCTGCACCTGATAACTTGATTTTTGAAAATCAAATCTATAGTAGTATGGATTTAATGTTGAATTGTATTGCTAAGCTAAGTTCTTCAGTGTTGTGGCATATAGTTGCTCTGGCATTGAGATCAATCTGTATGTGGTTAACTTGGAGGATGTGAATCTTGGCCCCTGATTGGCACATTCCTCACGATGGAATGCAACAAATTTCATCAGTTGGTCACCAGGAGAAGTGCTACATTACTCTTTCAGACGTGTACCAAGATGGCAAAACCTTTTAGAATTTGATTGACCCCTGAGCCTGAAATGCCATAAATGTCCTTTAGAAGAAACCAAGTTTTCCTCACACAAGAATTCCCATGAAAACCACTTCTCAATAGTTCGTTGAACATCATGAACCACAACATCTGTTGTATTCCCAGCCCTTGCTATCATACTAGCAGTATAGATGGTTGCCATCCTACCTGGTGCCTCTAGGGAGTCTCCACTTGGTCCATCCACCACCATGATATCCCAGTTAATCTCATACACTTCTTGTGGTAAGTTTGTGAGTGCCAATTGACATGTTGACTGTTGAAGCATACCTGAGTTAGGTGTACAAGCTGGATTTTGCCTTGTTTGCTCGAGCAGCTTGTAAGCCTTTTTTGATGGCATCTTGTAGTCCACCTTATAAATTCTTGTGCTGTTGGAACCTAATTTGATTGCCCTTATCTTATTAGGGTCATCCTCCAGAAAGATAGTGGTCCCCCTTCCATTAATTAATGAGAAGGAAAGGTAACGGGGCTCAAGCCCGAAAATAAGTAGATTGCAAGGAGCTTTAAGAATGACGAGATTCAGAATAACCTGGAATTCCTTTTCTGTGAGAACACCCACATTAGCAGAACTCTGAACTGAAGTTGGTGAGGGGCCTGGTGCAGTGGATTGAATCTTACTGCAAGCAGAAGGAGAGGAGCAAAAATGTTGCAAGGGTGAAGGCAAAGCACGGAGTGGACGAGGAGAAGATGAAGCAGTGATTCCTATTTTAAGAAGTCTGAGGATGGAATAGCTTGAAAGGATGAAGACAATCAGGGGAATAAGTTTCCTCGCAGGAAATTTCATCCTTTCAGTTCCTCGCCAGGGTTTTTGGCTAACAGGCGAGACTCTATATGAAAACTTAACAACAGGCGTTAGAAGGGGATATGGTATTTCAGGTGGCATTTCTTGCTATCACCTTTTGTGTGTGTGCATATACTTTGTGCACTTTCACATGCACTATTATCGCATCTCCCCTTCTCAAGGTTGGGGGAGTTTCTGATTGCACAAGATGTTACTTTCCTGATATTCCCATGAGTGAATGAGAAGGAATGGCTTTTGCTTTTGTTTGAAGTGTTACTTTTCTGTCATGGAGTTGGTGCCTAACAGATAGTTACCCAATTGATGTGGTTGCCAACTTGCCTTGTGTTCTAGAAATAAAATATGCTTACCTGTACCCTGCAGGGAGCATGAACGATAGAGGTTTGATGTTTCAATCATTTCTTGTGTTCTGAATTAAGCCCTGATTAGTTGAGTGGTTAATTTTGTCCAGTTAAAGTTGTCAAGAGGATCCCTTTGGTGGATGTAAGAAGTTGAAGGATGCCAATGAGTTGTTGCCGGGTCACTTTCAATCAGTCTGGACTTCTTATGGAATGTCTTTTTTCATTTTACATAGGAGGGACTGAGCAGTGATATCCACTTTTACAAGGTAAATTTTAATTTGCCCACAGCAATAGGTGTCCAATTAGAAGAATGAGTATAAGTTGGTGTGGTTATTTCAAGCAGCTCATATTAGGAGGACTTTGGTTTGCTTCCAAGCTGTTGGATCAATAACCACAGTTAATTAGTATATATTGAAGATTTCAAGCTTTCTAGCTTATTTATGCGATGAACTTCCGTTAGAAATATTTGCACCTAAATTTGGTAACTCCGCTTTGAGGGGTCCTCCGTATGAAAATTTGTTTGTGATGTCAATTTAATGATTTAATTGTGGGTCAAAAGTCAAACCTTTCTTTTGGAATACATTAATCTTTGTCAATAACATATCTTTGAATCAAATGAAAGAAATCTAACTTGTGGAATTTGTAAAATACGCAAATAACATATACTCTTTGCAGAATTTGTCTATATATTTTTTTTTTTTCAACAAAATGCATGTGCATCTAGAAGCTGTTTAAGTTGCATATACGAGATGGTATATGGAAATTCTGAAATCTAACTAGTGGCGTTGTGTTATGCAAAAAGGTGATTTCATTGCTTATTTGCCATTGGAAGGCAGGTATCTCTTTATGGTTTTATAGAATTTCATCCCGGTTGTAGTTCTCCTAGATGTCTGAAAATTCTGCAGTTGGGTTTATAAAAATACACTATATTTCACAAATGAAGAGAGAGAGAGAGAGAGAGAGTAGCTTTCCTGTCATTTTCCAGAGAGCTTCAAGGGAAGTCACATCACATAAAAAGAAACTTCAACAAGGCAATATAAAAAAAAAATACTTAAAAGAAGGAGGGCAACAGTATTTACATTTGAAAAGAGTGGTTGGCAAAGAATATTCAGATTATTATGCTGTGAATAATCCTCCATCAGCCATTTGCTGATCTTTTTTTTTTTTTTTTGTGAAATAAATTATTATTTTTTTCTGAAATAAAAATTTATTGAAATAAATCATAAGAGGGAGAGCAGTTGGGTTCAACTGAAAGTAAGGGTGCAGCAGCTAAGTCGGGATTTCTCATTATAAAAATCTCCATTTGCGTTTATAATAAGGATTTATATATGGCCTTGTCTGTATGCAAGCTCTTGGTACGGGGAATCTCTCAGTCGGTATAATCTTCCTCTCTCATACCAACATTGTTTACACCGAATTTAACCCAAAATCATCATTGATTTCTTCTATACTTGAATAGCTTTAAGATGATGATGCTCTTCAATCCCAAATTAGATGAGAATCAAGTAGATTTACCCAGCCTGTTAAATCGTTTTAATTTTATTAATCAAGTATGAATAAAACTAATATCACACTCTAATCCCATAAATATTGACATAGAAAAGATTAGACACAGTCCCAAGTTTATTATATCTAGCAACTCCTCCTAGATTCAATAAATTAGATGGGTAAATTAATTACTTTGGGAGACTTCCAATGTAATTTACTCTTTAATAATTTTTACAACCAAACACAAATCACAACCTGGAAGTAAAATAGTCACTTTCCGTTCAAAATTTTAAAAACAATTTTTTGCTGACGTTTTCTCCAAAATTTGAATATATATTTTTTGAGTCTGTTGTCATGTCATATTATGTTTTTAAATCATTGATTTGAGGTTTCAAGATTCAAATGAGTATGTTGACGAACAGTTATTAACCAGTTCATGTTTCCTGTTTTAAAACATTGTTCAAAGGTTTCATTCTTTAATACCCTTCAAACACGTCCTCCCAACTGTAAGCAAAAAATTTCATGCTCATTAACCTTCGTTTCACCTATTTCTGCTTTCTTTTTCTTTCTTTTCTACAAAAAAATTGTAGTCATTAGTACATTTCTCCAGTCTTCTTCTTCTTCTTCTTCACCTTCCTTCTCTCTTCTTCATCAGAATTCTGCAGAAACAGATTTTTGCCTGTTGTCCTTCAATGTTCTTTCTTCCTTGGTTCTCCCATCAGCCCATTTGAGGTTAGGCTGGAAAACAGAAAAGGAAACTTGGGAAGAAATATTGCACAACATATGGTTTCACCTACAGGATCTAAGGTGCGTATTTATAGTTTAAAGATCATGTGAGACATTTGGTTTTCCAGAATATTTTAGGTGGTAAAAGCAAGAAGAGACCCTAACACAAATATTGACAATGAAAACAGGATATGACAGAAGGTGATCTCAAAGAACCCCTTTTTGCTTCTGTACCAAAATCTCCTGTTCAGAATGGGAGGCCAAGTAGCATGGTTGTCAAGGTAAATAAAACCCTATATTCAGATCCCTTTTTTCAAGGTTCTATAACTTGCAGGCTTGCAGCAACTATATTCACATGTATCTGGCTAAGTTTTGATTGGTTTTTCTTATTCTCATGAAATAACAGAAAGCAAATACCGTGATTCCTGCACATATTGTAGCTGAAGCCATCTCAACACTCCATGGTCTAGACCTGAGATGGTCAGGTCCAATCACCCCTACAGAAATGCAGTATGTTGAACAGTATGTCCTGGCTAAGTATCCGCAGTATGCTGGGCTTGTTGAAGGAGAAAAGATTGATCTGTCTAGTCTTTGTATCAATGATGAAGAATGTCCGGCAGAGCCTCCGCCTGACGACAAGCGAAAGTCACCAAGAGGAGGTTTTCGAGAGCCCTCTACACCGATACCATCACCATCCTTGGGCAGCAATCTCCCTGACTTGGATAGAATCCAGTTAGAGCCATCAAGACTACTTGATATTCTCACCAAGAAGTCCTCTTTTCCTGGAAGCTTCATTTCAATCCCGGAAATTCAAGCTCGAAACAAAGTTCTGAAGCATTGCGGATTGCCTGACAATGAGTATCTTGTTCTGTTTACTCCAAACTATAGAGATGCAATGATGTTAGTAGGGGAGAGCTATCCTTTCTTCAGGGGCAACTTCTACATGACAATCATTGGGGAAGAAATGGATTACGTAAGGGAATTTGCCACTTACAAGGAATCAAAAGTGATTTTGGCACCAGAGACCTGGTTGGATCTGAGGATCAAGGGATCACAGCTTAGCCAGTATTTTAGAAGAAAGTGTAAACATACCCCAAAAGGCCTTTTCTCTTACCCAGCTGATATCAATGGGAGGCGGTACTCCATGCATTGGGTTTCTGAAGCTCACCGGAATTCATGGCACGTTCTGCTTGATGCCACTGCATTTGTTGGGGGAGATGACTGTCTGAATCTTGCACTTCATCGACCTGATTTTGTGCTCTGCAGTCTTGGGAATACGCATGCTCATCCTTCAAAGATCACATGTCTTCTTGTTAGGAAGAAATCCTTCGATCCCACAACAGCTTAATCACATGCCAGCAGGTGAAGAAAACAGCATGTGCTTTTCTGCATATATTGTTTTTTAGAACACATGACCAACGAACTCTGGATTCTCAAGAGCAAAGATTTGCACTGTTAGGTGTAATCCATCAAAAAATAATGTTCCTATAAAGATATATTCAAGATTGAAATGTCATAATACATTTTCTGAAGTAGTTTGGTAGGATTTCATGTTGGCAGGAGAGGCTTGTTCAGCCAACACAGTAAGTGTAACGCAGACTTGTGCAGTTCAGGAAAATAATGCCCAAGGTTCCTTTCTCTCAATCCAAGAAGAAAGCATTTTAAGCCAAAGAGCAAAACCTTTTATGCAAGGATTAAGTTTTCTTCTTCGCTAAGTAATTTTTTGGCTTGACAACATAGTTAGATTTCCATATAAATCAGTATGCCAAAAACCGCAAGCCTACCATTTGAAAGAAGAAAGAAACCTGAAGAATGTAATTAACAGAGAACAAGAAACAGAAGGACCCTGCAAGCTAAAAAAATGGAGTATTGACAGGAGTCTACAACTAGTACGTGCGGTAGAAATTTCATCCTTGTTGGAAGAAGGCTTCATATTCAAATCAAAGAAAGTAGAAGCTTAAGGGGAACAATCTAAAGTTAGCAGGCTGTAGTGGAGACATTATTTTGCTTGTTTCGTCAGAAGACAAGTCATTTGAAGGGCAATTCAACTAGTCATTACCTGGGTTAGTTGTCTTTGTGTGTGTATATGTTCCAGGGGGGGAAGGAGGGGTAGAATCTCGGTGACTGGTTAAATACTTTATCTTTAAGATAACTAAAACAATACATCACTCCAAATAAAAAATTTCCACCATGCGACCTCCTGATGAAACAATAGAGCAAAACAAGTAAATAATATATGACACTCTGTTACACAGTACCTTCTTTTTATTCCCCACCCTTTCCGTGGGTAATGTCTAAACTTTTGCCTAATCCAAGAGCAAAGGATCCCGGTCATAAAGATAGCAAGCATCTTAAATGCAAACCATTCATATACTAATATTGAGGAAGTATTACAAGGCCTGAAAGCTGATAAACAAAATCAAAAGACAAATCCATTGCTTGCACAAGTATCAACTCCTAAATGATATTACATATTCAAAGAGAGCAGGGAGAGAACAACAGCTAGCTGCTTCATACGACCAAAGAGAACTAATAATATAGATAGACGTAGTCAAAGCGAAATGCTAACTTATGTTTAAAGTTCATTGTCTACAGACATTTTATGCTCCGAAAAATCAATATTGTGTTCTGCCATCGCCCTCGGTGATCACATCTTTGAACGCACCGCCACTGGGGATCATAGGTAGAACATGCTCTTGATGTGGAACAATTACATCCAATAAATATGGTCCAGGGGTATCTAACATTTTCTGAATTGCTGCTCGCAGTTCCTCCTTCCTTGTCACACGGGCAGCAGGAATTTCACATGCTTCTGCAAATTTCAACATATCTGGAAAAATTTCAGACTCCTTTGATGGGTTCCCCAGATATGTATGGGCTCTATTTGCCTTATAAAACCTATCCTCCCATTGAACAACCATACCCAGATGCTGATTATTCAACAGTATTATCTTGACAGGAAGGTTCTCCACTCTGATAGTCGCCAACTCCTGGACATTCATTATAAAACTTCCATCGCCATCAATGTCTACAACAACTGCATCTGGATTTGCAACAGCAGCTCCAATTGCAGCGGGCAACCCAAAACCCATAGCTCCCAGACCTCCTGATGTCAGCCATTGGCGAGGTCTCTTATACTTGTAAAATTGAGCAGCCCACATCTGATGTTGCCCAACACCAGTGCTGATGATGGCATTTCCATTGGTTAGTTCATCAAGAAGCTGAATTGCATACTGAGGAGGAATAGCATCTCCAAAAGTCTTGTAGCTCAATGGGTATTTCTTCCTCTGCTCGTCAAGCTCCTTGCTCCATGCAGAAAACTCAAGCTTAAGCTTAGCTCCTTTACTCTCCAATATCTTATTCATCCCCTGCAGTGCCAACTTCACATCAGCACAAACCGAAACATGGGGCTGCTTGTTCTTCCCAATTTCAGCCGAATCAATATCAATATGGACAATCTTAGCTCGGCTAGCAAAAGCTTCAAGCTTTCCTGTCACTCGGTCATCAAACCTCACCCCAAAAGCAAGCAACAGATCACTTTTATCCACTGCATAATTAGCATAAACAGTACCATGCATTCCAAGCATGTGCAGTGACAAGTCATCTGAGCATGGGAATGATCCAAGACCCATTAAAGTACTTGCAACTGGTATTCCAGTAAGCTCAACAAACCTCCTCAACTCCTCACTGGAGTTCAAACACCCACCACCAACATACAACACCGGTTTCTTTGATTCAGATATCAACCTAACAATTTGCTCCAAATGAGTCTCATCGGGTGACTTGGGCAACCTAGACATATAACCAGGCAATTTAATGCCCTGGTTCCAATTAGGAACAGCTAGCTGTTGTTGTATATCCTTAGGCACATCAATCAAAACAGGCCCAGGTCTTCCGGAGGTCGCCAAAAAGAAGGCCTCACTAACAATCCTAGGAATGTCATCTACATCAAGAACAAGATAATTATGTTTGGTGATCGACCTAGTTACCTCAACAATAGGGGTCTCCTGAAATGCATCGGTACCAATCATCCTGCGAGGCACTTGTCCGGTAATGGCGACAATAGGAACGCTGTCAAGCATGGCGTCAGCGAGACCACTGACCAAATTTGTGGCGCCAGGGCCAGATGTAGCGATGCAGACGCCAGGAATGCCAGAGGAGCGCGCATAGCCCTCAGCTGCGAATACCCCTCCCTGCTCGTGGCGCGGGAGAACATTGCGGATGATGGAGGAGCGGGTAAGCGCCTGGTGGATCTCCATTGAAGCGCCGCCTGGATAGGCAAATACGTCGGTGACTCCCTGGCGCTCAAGGGCCTCGACAAGAATATCGGCGCCTTTTCGGGGCTCATCAGGGCGAAATCTGGAAATGAAGTTCCCAGTTTGGGTTTCCTCTATTGTCGTTGGTGCTGTTGTGGATGTGGCGGCGGGCTTTGGGGTGGAATGAGAGAAGGAGCTGGAGATTTGGAGGGAGCGGTGCGTGGTTTGCTTTTTGGGACTAAGGGAAAAGGGGATTGGGCGGAAGACAAATCTGGAAATGGGTAATGGAGATTTGGCGGAAGAAGGGAGAGCAGAAGAGTTGGAGAAGGCGGTATTTGCAGCGGCGGCCGCCATTATTGATAGAGGAGAGAAAAGCGACAGTGGAGATGCGGAGGCAAAGTGAGTTGTGGCAGAGAATTATAGAAATGGGATCCAATTTGGTAAAATTACAAATAGACTCTTGTATTTTCTTTGTAAACGTTGGGTTAAATTTGGAAAATAAAATCAAGGGTGACAATTCTTTTTATTTGTATCTATATAAATTATACATATATATATATATTAAGATATTAATTAAAATTAAAAGATAAAACTTTTTATTTTACATTCTCATACACTCCTATATATATATATATTATTTAAAATAACTATACATAAATTAAAAAAAAAATGATATGCATGCACGTATTTAGATTAATTTTTTTTTTAAAAAATATATATTTGTAAGACTATGAACATATGCTAAGATTTCTTGATGATATATTTTAATACACTATCTAATTAATTAATTATTGATTGATGATATGATATCATCCAGCTTTATATATATACATATATATAATTTTGTAATTGTATATATAAATTTCATAATCGATTTTCATATAATTTGAACTTTTCTTTACGTTCAATTTATATATATTTTTTAAGTTCTAAACTCATAAAATAGAAATATAATTTTTCTAATACATGAATGTTACGTGATAATTAGTTAACAAATATTTCATGTCTTCAATAAAAAATGTCTATTGATTAATTGAAATAGTACAAACCATAAATAAATGAATTATTATTTTCTGAATTTGTAGATTTAATTATAAATATGTTCAATATTTAAGATATTGGTCTAATTTTTTAAAACAAATAAAATGTTTAGTTTAATCTTAACACGTTTTTTTAATTAAATTATTATTTATAATTTAATTATGATATGTTTATAAAATATTCAATAGCTTAGATACTATTCAATTATATCTGAGTAAAATTTAAAAAATTATCTGTATTGTTTTATAAGTTGAGTAAGAATAAATAAAATGACATCAGAATAAAACTTTATATTTATGTATATAGTAATTAATGATATGACATTAAATTATATTTGTAAGTATTAAAAAATTTATAATTAAACATAATAAAAAAGTGTATTAATAGGCATTAACATCATTAAAAGTCATTCTTGATATTTTACAATCAAATATATTATATTATGTACAATGTAACTAAATGATTATAACTTTTAAAACACGTTAGCTCATATAATTAAATGAAAACATTACATAAATTTAAAAAAAATATTGATGTTACTCGACATAAAAATAATAACAAAATCAAAATAATCCATTTCAACTCTTATACACACACACACACACACACACAGAAGTAAACACATACTGCAATAAAGAAAACCTAATTGCAATATAATGTTTGTTTTAACTGAATGTATAATGAGTTATCGAGATGAAACTTTAGTTTAACTAAATAGTTCCATCAATACATTAACGAGCTAACTTCTAATGATTCGTTAACTAACTATTCCGAATCATAATATAAGCAAAGAAACCATTGCCGCATGTGCGTATGATTGCGATAAGAAAAATCCCTGTGTAGAAATAACATGTCACAAGCAATGCATCTGCAAGGCCATTCATGATCTAAACATGCTCTGGGTGGCCAAGGGTGCAACTTCGAACCCCAATAGGGAATGCCGAAAGGCACATCCGTGGATGTAATGCAGGAGAGTTTTAAATCTGCAGAGCTCACACCCCTATATTTCTGATTGACTACATAGCCAGAGACTGATAAGCATATATACATTTGCCACAGCAACTCTATCTCACAGCTCGAAATTTAATTTCTGGGGGTACGACATTACTCCTAAACTACAGTGCATGAATTCATTATGTGTTCCAAAATCCAACAATTACATCCAAATTGTATAGATCACCAAGAAAGAAGGCAAATATCATATCAACTACGATTATGATCAAATATCTTGAATATTTCGATTCGATTGTTTACAGGAGTAACTTAAAAAATATCAAATGCACCTAAAAAATATGACCTACAGAAATCTCTGTCTGCACATCTCTTTGACTACAAGTTGCAGCGATCCGGTCTGTCTACATCCTCTAATGATCTTGAAATTTCCCACTCACCCTGCAATAACAAATGAAACCAGATTTAGCCTTTCATTGCAAATCAATTCAAAAACAAACAAACAAGTAGGTTGAATCTATTCCTAGTGATGCAAATTTAGGGCTCTCAAATTACAAACATAAGGGGAACTTAGAAACGCATAGGAGACTGAATCAATGATATAATAACCGCAGTTAGAGGAGTTTAAACCCTGAAATAAGTAATTTCATATTGATTTCTTAACATTTTAACAATACTTAGAAAATGAAGAAACCTCTTTCCGTGGTCCAGTTCAATTTGAGGATACACTATCCCTAGTATGCGTTTAGATTGAGGAACATAGACAAAAGACCTTACTGATTGTTTTATCAAACACCTAAAACATAAAGATACAAGCATTTTCATATAGCTATTTGGATACACGTAATAATATGCAAACATGATCGGGGTTGACATATAATCGATCTATCATACAACAATCCAAAAAATAAGAAAATCAACAAATTTTTCTTCCAATCAAAGAGATAGAAGCGACTACGAGCGCACCAAGTGAGAAAAAAAAAACCTTAAAAAGGAACTTCTTCTCGAACCAATTATACCTAAGAAGAGCCGACGATAATGTTGTTGATCGGAATAAAGACCATCTTAACGAAGAACCCTACGAATCCCATCACTACGAACCCGATCGCCGTACGGAAAGCTACCTTTGTGAACTCTGCAGAAAACAATGCCAAAATTCACCTCAAAGTTTACAAGAAAAAACAAACCAGAAACCCTAATCTCGAGGCCTATTACCCTTGCGATCAGGCTTGTGGCAGCGCTTGACGAGGCGAACGCTGTCCTTGGCGAAGTCTCTGAGAGGATCTACGACGGTGTCCAGAGCATCCATTCCGCAGTATGCCAACAGGAATATAAAACCCTAGAGTGAATTTACAATTTTACAAGTCTTCCTGGAAGAGAGCTTGGGGTTTGTATATTTATAGCAGCCAATGACTTCTTTTCTGTTCGGGATTCGAAGATTTGGTCAGAGTCAAAACCGGAGCCCTAACCCTCAAGATTTTTGTAATAACATTATTATTGGTTAATTAATCATTATTATTTTAATTAAAATACATAATTAATCCCTCGAGAAATTATATTTATTAGTAAATTTATGATTATATTTAGAGCTCTCATAGCATTTATATCCACGTGAAGTTGATATGAAAGAAAAAAATTGCTGCAATATAATAATTTTTAATAACCAAGAGATTTATTTAAATTATTTTTAAATATTAAAACTAAATTGAATAAAAAAATTTATAAAGATGTTAATTATATATTTTTTAATCACATCTCAATATTTTTCTTTATTAAATCTCTTTTCTGGCTGCTGCTTATTTCGGGCTACTACAATTTTTAATTTGTTTCGAACAAATCTTGTAAGGTAAAAACAGAATAACGTTTCAACTGAGATCTAATCAAATTTTTAATCTTCCATACATACAGTCCATAACTAGGATTATTAAAAAGCAAAAACAACATACAAATCTCAGAACTGCACATTCAATATGATTAGGTAAGTAAAAGCAGCAACATTCTCCTGCTGCCAGTTCATGTTAAATGATTAACAAGTTTCTCGTCTAGTCATTACATTAAAGGCATACAAATTCGTTCATAAAAGCAAAATTCCTGGTAGCATCAGCGAAGCTCCACTCCCCTTCTGCTGCACCACTGAGTGCTGAATCATTTGATGGAACTAGTTGCTTTAACTGCAGAAGAAGATTATTGGTTTGCTTCAAAATTTATTTCTATGAAATAAGAATATGAATAAAAGATATAAACAAGATAAAAATTTGAACAAAACTACTAGTCTAGTTCCAACCCAACTCCATGCAGAACTCAAAATTAGTATTTCTTTTTAGGGTTCTTATTACAATTACACTTAAAGAACATTCCAATGATCAAAGGCAGAGATAAAGATGTTTCTCATTTAATTGCACTCTTAAAAATGCAAGCCCTGATGTTGATATTAGACTTTTATGTTTCAAGGAAAAGATCCAACTTGCCCTAAAGGAAACTTGAGAACACATGTTAGTCAAGCCCTTCACAGAAATATCAACTCGCTTACTTTAGCTGTAAGTGTTCTCGACATTATTGGGCGTCGATTGCTAACCTGATTGCCACATGACTTATGTCCACTTGTTGGGGAAATAAATGGCAAAATTTTGAGTGGGTATGTGGGTTAGTATTGTGTGCCCCTCGAAATGGTCCACAGCGAAAATAAAAGGTGCTTTTACATCACTGAAGCTCTACTTCTCCATTGAGATTTTAGTTTGGACTGTTCAAAAGGGGTTCTATCTAGAGACATCTAACTTTCGACAATTAAAAATACACAAAATAAACTTATTGGTTGTGAAGGAAAAAGCCAGCAACTCCAGAAAGCGATATATGAGATGAAATATGTCGATAACAAGAACATATTTCAACCAGCAAATTGAAGTGATGGTTTCCAACTGGATGATGCATATATTAAGGAAATAATCATAGGATAGGAGAAGGTTTAACAAGGAAATAATCTTAAGATACATGGAAAAATTTGTCAAGAAAAATAATTGATGAACAGTATGCGAGTTAATCAACAAAGCCTTGTTTCATCTCATATCCAGGTGGATGACTAAACAAGAGAAAACTTACAGGACCAAGCATCAAATTTCAACTTCTTCTATCTCATTGTGCTCATCAAGAAAGACCCTATCTGCATCTTCATTTGCTTCTGCTCAAGAAGCTCCTATTCCAGTAGTCGTGGACTAATACAGGATGCTTCGCCCACAGACTAGTTTTAACACTTACATGGCTGTCTTCTACTTGCAGAAGGATAAAATGACAGAGATCATTCATATCCAGGCCAGCCCTAACCCTGCCTTTACTGCTTGAGTTCCTACTGAAGTCCAGACTTTAAGGACTATGCTTGAAGACATTTCTTACTCCCTAGTCCTTAGGAAAGAAGACTCTTATCTCTTTGAAGGAAGGGGGATAGAGTAACTATTTATATTCACATGCACCAGAAATGCAAGACATTTAAGGATGATGTTCAAACCAGACAAAGATCTGTAATTCAGAACTTTACTTACAGAAGCAATGTCAAGTTGGTTTCATTAGCTAACTTACAATGTAAGGGATGATCTCTTGCCCACTTCCAAGACTGATCTCTCGTATCCCCTTAACCTTATGTCTGAAGAGCCATTTAACTGCTCGAAGGAGAAAGAAAGAGAACCTCTTTGTAGGATGAGAGACAAAATGCCCAGGAACAGCTATTCCACTCAAGCACTTCTAAACTTCTCTTTACATCTATAAACTTCACAATATTTCCTACAATGAAAAATTTTCTACTCAAAATCTTCCTAGTACCTGCAGTTGGAATCAACTACAAAGTGGATAATATTCTATCTTCAGTAAAACTTAGTTAAGATATCAGAGGAAGCCATCCTTTCAAAATCCTTGCCCTAAGAATACCACTTTAAATACGGGCATTTATTAATATAATTTACATCATAAATTACCATCCGTTTTTCTCTGCCCTCAAAGTTTAGAGTTCCACTATAATTACCGTCAAGAGCAAGAGTTTTTTTACCAAAAAAGGAAAAAAAAAAACTGTTTCAGCAGGGAACTCAATGCAAGCTACTGCTGCTGCAATTGTCATAGAACACGTAGATTTAAACTCCATCTATGAACGGTCATCATAAAAAAAAAGAGTGCAGGGAAGCCAATAAGCACTCGTGTAAGCAGTTTCTTCTGGCACCAACCCAACCTTTCCCAATTCTGATAATCAATTTTAAATCCTAGTGATGATAGAATTATTCATGACTGTTCAAGAAGTCATTGCCGATACCCAAAATATGTATCACCCATCTGCCAAAGGATTTTATTAACAAATAGGCAAGTCACCAAAATTTTGGAGAATAATATGCCACCAACTTGTTTGACAGAATTCAAAGAGCGGAAACCTATATGCATGGACCCGTCAATCTGAATAATAGAACAATGGATAGAACGCAGGATAAAGGTCATTTCACCAAGTCAGTCTGAATTGCGTTCAAATTGGCCAAAACAAAGCTTCATGTTTGAAGGACAGTCACTGCACCAGAGTCAAAATTTAACAACAGTGGCAATACATACACTAGGAAGCCAACATAATGTTCAGGGTCCTATGCTTCTGAACTGAATGTTTCTAAATAAAATCCACATATAAGAAGCAGCAACCTGTTATGCTAAAAGCTGAAAACTTTAAACAACCAGCACCAAAAACTTCATCTTTCTTTCCTTTTTTTTTTTAAAGAGCAATCAAGACTTCGCTCGCATGAATTTATCCATTTCATTTTTATCATTTCCAAATGCCCACAACCAGGAGCTTTTTCTTTTGGCCCTAAGAAACGAACAAATAAGTACTTCTAATCAAGACCGGCAAAAACAGCGAAATTGTCAAGAAAAAAAGATAACCCAACTCCACAAACAACACGGACATGAGCTAGAGAAAGAAAACTCCCCAACAAACTTTTAAATTTTCTAAGGAAAAAAAATGGTCCTTGAGCCACATTACCCTTGGCCATCGAGATTGCCTAGGCCAGTGCTCCCTCCGCTACCATAGGATCCATCATCCGCAGTGGCCGCCGTCTGCCAGACGCTCTGCCAGGCCTGTGAAGGAGGTTGAACGTAGACACCGGTCGGGTCCACGGCGGGTCTTCCAATCATCATCCCACCCGGGCCAGCAGCCCCGGCGGGCTGGCCCATAGGCGGGTAATAATAGGGCACGCCGCTAGCAGTAGCCCCGACCATCCCACCGAGACCTGCAGCCTCGTCCCTGGGAACAATATCGACGAGAAAATCAAAGATGTCGGTCCTAGTAATAGCGGCGGCGATGTCGTTCTTCTGGAGAGTACGGCGCTTGTTCTCCTCGGCGTGAAGCCAGGAGCGGATAGTGAGTTCAAGGATGAAGAGCTCGCAGGCCTTGGCGAAGAGGATAGGAGCCTCGGCGGAGATCATGCGGACATCTTCGTCGGCTTTCATGATCTTCTTGATTCGAGCCAAGGGAAGCTGGTGGTTCTTGAAGTCGTTAACCTGCTCGATCTCCTGACGCTGGTAGGACCAGAACATCTGCAGCTGCTGTTGCTGCTGCTGCAGAAGGTGGTGAAAGGGAGCGGCTGCAGCAGGTTGTGGTGGTGGAGCTGGTGGTCCTGCTGGTGCAGCTGCAGTTGGGGGTTGCGGAGGGTATGAGGACTGGGCCTGCTGGTTGTTCTCCATTTGGGTGTGGTGGGGGGAGAGGATTGGTTGATTGATGAATCAATGGAATGGATTTGATGATGGTTTCAGGAAGATTTGGGAGATTGATCGGAGGGTTCGGGGACTCCTGTTTTGGGGTTGGTGATGGAGGGGATAAGGTGGAGACCGATGTAGCTGATTGTTTTGGCTT